GTGGATGCCACTCCTTCTTCCAAACCTGCTTTACATCTGGGAGCTCCACCAAACACTATCCACATTAGGAAGCCACTCTTGTCTTTGATACCCCAATGGCACAAGGTTCAGCATCACAGCAACCCAGGTTACTTCAAACAGTGCATTGACAAAGAGTGATGTTCAAAGTGGAAGAGTGTTCATCCAGATAGCTGTACCCTTTAAAAAGTTCAATTGAATGGATTGAGAAATTATAGTACATTCACACAATGGAATACTATGCAGCACACAGGAGCAATGATTTTGTAAATTACTACCTAACTTGGGAGGAACTGGAGAGCGTTATGCTAAGTGAACTAACTCAGTCCCATAAGAATAAATATTGTTTAACACCCTTATTGTAGAACAAGTATGAGGATCCAAGGAGAGACAGAGAGGATGTGAGCCAAGAGTGGAGGGCGGGGTGGGTGAAGCAAATGGGAAGGAAAGACCCCGTGTGGAAAGGAGTGCACACACCTTTGCCCTGCTTTTCCCGAGGGTGAAATTTCCCTTTGTCTCCCCTTCTGATAAAATGACTAGGAAAGTAGCATCACCAATTCCTGAGTCACCGGCCTTGATTTAATTTGTTGAGAGGTCATCAAAGAGAAATGTGAAAGCCTATCTTTTTCTCTGGGCAGTGTGTGTTCCTAGGATAGAAACCATCCTCTTTCGTACAATTCCTACTCACTGACAAGTAAATCCAATAGGCAGGTGACTTATCATGTCTGCTTTTTATTCTGGTTCTTAGACACACTGTTCATGCATTTGTACTTCTTATGAACCTAGCCATCTCATACCGGTTTTTTTGTTTTGTTTTTTAAATAATTTTAATGAGCATTTACAGAAATTTTGGATTTCCATTCATTCACTGCTGCACTTCTCACCCCGTCCAGCCCTCCCTCCCCTCCCCCAGTTTGCTCCTCTCTTTCAAAAGTAAAAGAAACACTCCTTCCCTGGTACACAATCCCCCCACACCCCTCCCACCACCCCAAGTACATTCCACTATGCAACCTTAATTGTGGACTCTTGTGATAACCATAATACCCTATCATATGCTTTTAAATTATTCACTCCCTCATCTATTTCAGTGCAGTATACAAAATTTATCCAGTTTTTCTTAGTCTTACCCCAGCCCTGATATCAGTCCCATGTTACAACAGTGGCGCCGTGCAATATTTGTCCTTTTGTGACTGAGATATTTCACTCAGCATAATGTTCTCCAGGCTCACCCGTTTTGAATAATATTGCATGAGTTCCTTGTTTTTCAATGCAGCATAGTATTCCATTGTGCGAATATACCACAGCTTCTCTGCCCACTCATTTGTTGATGGGCACCTGGGTTGTTTCCAACTCCTTGCTATTGTGAACAAAGCCGCGATAAACATGGGTGTGTGTGTATCTTCTTGGATGTCATTTATGGTCTCTTTGGGATATATTCCCAGTAGTGGAATTGCTGGGTCAAATGGTATCTCTATTTGCAACTTTTTGAGAAAGCACCATACCGCCTTCCACAGTGGTTGCACCACTTTACACTTCCACCAACAGTGAATAAGGGTTCCAGTTTCTCCACAACCTTGCCAGTATTTGTTGCTTGCTGTTCTGTTAAATTTTGCTATTCTGACAAATTGCTTGCAGAAATGATTACGTTTTCAAATTTGGGGGTATTTAGGTCAATAAATAGGATTCTAACTCATTAGGAGGAAGGTCAGATCGTGATAGACTAGACAGTGTTACATATTAGAAGATCTTTCTCTCTATTCAACAAAGTAACTTGGTTTCTGCATTTTCATTCCCTATAAATTACTGTGAAGTATGTCTTAGATACACAGATTGCTTGTGAATGAAATGTCCTATGGATATGTAAGACTTTACATGGTTGTACCCTGTTAAAAATGGGAGTCTTTGTATCGGGTGCCTTAATTTCTTCAACTTTGTTATTTAAATAAGTATCTCATTTTTAATTAAGCATAAGTTTTTTTATGCCTTACTTATACCTTGATCTATACTCAGGTTCCCCAGAACTAACTACTCTCTAGTGATCCTAAGGATACAGTTTTTTTCTCTTCTTAATCATCAAAAGAATGAATTCTGTATAGGATTTCTCTATTGACTTTTTTTTAATTGCAAGCTTTTTCCCTTTAAGTAAACTGAATAAATTAAATAAAAATATTTACAGGTGATAGTAAGTAAAGAGTAAATCTTTACTCTTCACAAAGTAAGCAACATATTTTCTTAACGCATTAAAATTAGATTTATGTTTCAGTCGTTTTGGTTTACTGACATATCCCTGTTGTGAAAAGCCAATCAATTCTTGAAACTCCCTACCAGGCACTGTCTCTTCCCCAGTTCAGATTCAAGTTAGAAACAGGTAATGAAGTCACAAGACATTTCAATGCTTAGCACTTGGAAAATCTTATTTAGTAGGTAGAATACTGCTTAGGCGGCTGGTCAGGTCCCTTAATCAGTGGTGATTCTTCATGCCAATGCATTCTGCTCTGTGAGTTTGGATGAATTATTCTACCTCTCTGGGACTTAGTTTTCTTATCTGTGAAATGGATCAAGAGAAATATGTAGCATACATTAGAAAGCATATTCAATGCATGGTACATTGCAAGTATTTGATTCATTAATATGTATTGATTTATTTGATGCTTAGAAAATTAAATCATTTGATGGTTAGACAATTAAGTGCCTGCCTAATTTATCCTATATTATCCTAACATGGACATACATATGTGAATATATTTAAAATAAAGACTGGAAGACCATTAATCTAATGTAAAATCTTACTGTGTACTATGCTTTGAGCTAGTCATAATATCTGTAACTAGACCAGATACAATTAGTTTCATAGTTTAGATTGATCTCACTCTTTTGACATTTGCTAAACCATTCAGTAGGGCCAAATTGCACATCTGGGCCTAAACTGGTAGTTTAGCAACTAATCTTAATGGTCTAATATTGGGTTTTGGTGACCTAGCTGTAAGAAGCTGTGCTACAATCCCAAATCCACCCACTGCTATGCTGGAGGAGGATGGGCAGTCTCCTCTCATGGGGTTTTCTGTCTTTGAAGATTTACTAGAGGGTCAGATAGGGGTCAAGTCTAAATCAATGGCAACACAACAACATCCATGAAACTAGTTACAGTTTACCCTTGTGCGATTTGGGGGCATTGTTGTAATACATTCTCTTGCATGTTAGGTAGGCATACTCTGTGAATTGTATTGTACAGTTGTGTTACCCCTGCGAGGTTATAAGCCCATGGCATGAATGCTTTTAAGTATGTGTACGGGCTGATAGGTAAGATGACTGATAAAAGTGTGTTCTTGCTTAAAGCATATGTGATGGGAGAAAGGTGAGCAATCACTTCCTGAGCGATTTACAGCTTCCAGAAACCCACTGGAGGTCAGTTCTGCTTTGATGGCAATGAGTTGAGCTTTGCTGCATAGACCCCTGGTAGGTTAAGCACTGAGCCGCTGACCTGAAGGCTGACAGTTCAGCCCATTAGTTGCTCTCAGAGATAGAGAATCCTCTGCTCATAGTTTTACAAGCCCCAGCACCCTGTGTGGCTTCTATGGCTCAGAATGAACTTGATGGCAGTGGGTTTGGCTTTTGGTTTTGGTTTCATGCACATTCTGTTAATTATTGTGTGGTTGGTGATATGGAAATGCTTGTTATTTTCCAGCAGTACTAAATTTCAAACCAAATCCTAGACTATTACAATCAGGTGCTGTGAATTCTCACTCACAGAGCCCCTCTGTGACAGAGTAGAACTGACCCATAGGGGTTTCGAGGCTGTGATATTTATGGAAGCAAATGACCAGGTCTTTCTCCTATCGCACCACTGAGTGGGTTCAAACCACTGAACCAACGGAGCAGATAAGAGCTGGTCCAGCAAACACATAGACTCCCAGTCCGCTGTCCTCGAGTCAGTCCTGACTGGCAGTGCCCCCCCAGAACAGGCTGGAACTGCCCCCCTGGGTTTCTAAGGCTGCACAGCTCCATGGAAGCCGACTACTTCCGCTTTCTCCTGTGGATCAGCTAGCTGGCGGCTTCAAACCACTGAACTCTCTGTTAGCAGCCAAAGTCTTTGACCCCTATGCCACCAGGGCTCCTGAGATTTCAGACTAGTGCATTCTCAGTGTTTCACATGGATATGAAGCAGCTGGATATCTTGTTATATGCTGCCTCCTTGGAAGTCTCAGGCCTGAGGTGTGACCTACAAGTCTCTCTTCCTAAAGGACTTCCAGGTGTTGTTTATGACGCTGGCCCCTGCAGCACACTTTGCAAAAGGATGTACAACCCCTGAGGCTGGGGGCGGAGTTGAAATGAACAGCCCTCATGCTGCTCCTAACTGCCTTCCCACACTCTTTGAGTTTACTCTACCTCCTTACCTGAGACTGGAAATGAATTAAAAATTCAGAGGCAAAGACTGAAAAGCCATGATCTTAGACTTCAAGTATTACAATGTTAGAACAACGCAATAGAATGCTGGGCTGGGCGTTTTCTGCGGCTCTCATGTATCATCTGCCCACTGGCCAGCCTCTCCAACCCATTTATTTGCTGTATTTCATTGAAGACCAAAAGTGGTGTGTATGAAACATCCCCATTTGCATTCTTCAGAGCCCTGTAGCCACATTATTAGCCCTAAATGTTTCCAGAGCAGAGAGCAATGGGAGTGGGAGCCACTTAACTCTCAACAAGGCTTTTGTTACCAGTGAAAAGAATGGTGGATTATTTTTCCCTTAAATCCAGGCCTGACTTTACAATACCTTAAGTGAGCATTTATGGAAGCTTCCCAGGGAAGCTCATTTTGAGTCTTTAGTCATTTAGATGAGAGAGAAGATTGTGTTTCACCTGTCGCATCCACCATAGGTAGGACTTGAGTTTATGTGTAATGTGACTATGGCGGTGTCTCTTTAAGACCTGTCAAATGAAATTCTTACTATAAAAATGAAATACGCACCATTGCTTTGTTACAGAGCACACAGGCCCCAGTCAAGACAAGAGAAGAACCACATCAAGCCCCTGGGGCGGAAGGAGTCACCTAGCGGATGATGTGGCCACGTTAGAGAGCAGCTTAGCAGCCAAAGCTTTTTCTACCTATGGTAACAGGACGGACGGCATGAAGGAAAAGACGACCCACAGAAGGACAAAGCGTTTTTTATCCTACCCACGGTTTGTCGAAGTGATGGTGGTGGCAGACAGTAGAATGGTCGCATACCACGGAGCAAACCTTCAACACTATATTTTAACTTTAATGTCAATTGTAAGTACATTCCGAAGAAGGTGGTTTATGAGTTCTCTAGGGGTGCTGTTTAGAGCTTTGGAGGATCACTCAGGACTGGCGTTTCAAGTAATTCAGGCAAGTGACTGAGCAGAACGTCAGGTTAATCATCAGTTGCCAATCTATAGAGACAATAGTTGGTATCAATACTGAGTGATGACCCCACGTTAAACAATGTTTTTTTTTGTCTTTGGAAACATCATTTCCAATCGCCTTGGCCACCTTGCTATAGGTAGGATTATCATCCCCATTTCACAGATAAGAATATTGACTTTCAGAGGAATTTCGTCACTTGTCCATGACATGTAAAGCTAGTAAGCAGCTCAGACACAGCATGTGACCCTTAGCTTGTCCAGGTCCCAAGGCAGTGTTCTCTGTCTCATCAGCTGTGCACAGCCAGCTGGGCAGGTCTCTGGTAAAACCTGTGGAGGCTGGTTGTGAATCAGAGATGCCCTTGGAGCTTATTAAAATGCTGCTGTCTCCCCTTACCTCCAGCTCTGGGATTCTAATTAAATGGCCCTGGGGTGAAGCCTAGGAACCTCAGCCCATTTTTATATTCACATTTTGAACTAAAAACATCATAAATTTGCATGATTAAAGAAAATCCGACAGAGCTAGAGAATATAAGATGAAAAAGAATCCTTCTCCATCCAGGTCCCAGGTTCCTTCCCAGAGGCAATCATTGTTCGGGTTTTTTTTGCGTATGCTTATTACTTGCACTGCCCAAGAGAAATATATTGTAAGCCACATAATGTAAATTTTTCCATTAGCCACGCAGAAAAAAAGAAACAGTTGTTCTAAGAATATATTTCCTTTTGTATCCAAAAAGATATCATTTCAACATGTTGTTGTTATGTGCTGTCGAGTTGCCTGCAACTCATAGCGACCCTGTGTACAACAGCCCTATACCCTGCTCTATCCTGTGACAATCTTACTGTCTCTGACACACCTACTCCCATTACCTCAGGTCAGTGAATCAATCCATCTCATCAAGGGTCTTCCTCTCTTGCACTGTCCTTCCACCCTCCCAAGCATGACATCCCTCTCCAAGGACTGGTTCCTCCTTGCGACATGTCCAAAGTATGTCAGACAAAACTTCAGAATCCTTTCTTCCAAGAAGTAGCCTGGTCTCACCTTCGCTAGTACAAACCTGTTCTCCGTGTTAAATTCAATACTCTTCTCCAGCACCACAGCTCAAAAGCATCAACTCTTCTTCCTTCATCCCTAGTCATTGTCCAGCTCTCTGATGTATAGCAAGTGATTGCAAAGATTATGGCCTGGATCAGGCGCACGTTAGTCTCCAGACTGACATTGTTGCTCTTTAATACTGTAGGCAGCATAAAAATTGTTACTGGTTTTAATTTTCTGTTTTGGTTTTGGTTTTCTGTTTTGTTTTCATCGTAGGCCTTTGAAATTAAAATCCAGTGTGTGTCTGACACAGCATTTCTCCTTGCAGATTAACCATATTTCAGTTGGTTCATAGCCACAAGTTGTGACTGGCTAATACATTGGACAATGCAACTGTAGAGGTTGCTTTGAAAAGTTTTTAGCTTTTTCTTTTTTTAAAAAATTTTATTATTTTTGTGTGAGTGTACTGTCAAATCAGATCTGAGTGGTACAGGAGGAGACTGTCCCTCCTTCCCCGGCAGAGCATCTGGTGGATTCGAACCATGCGCCTCTGGGATTGTAGTTGCAGCTCCTTGCCACTAGGCCACCAGAGCTCCCCTATCTTTTTTTTTTTTAACCCGAGCACAGATGAAACATTCTCATATACCCTTCAAACACTGCTGTTTCCTTGAAATAGTGGAGACTGTCGTAGTATTGCTAGGCGCTGTCGAGCTGACTCTGATTCATAGTGATCCTCTGTATGACAGAATGACAGTGCCTGGCCCTGTGTCATCATCAGGTCACCACCTGGCATGGGTCTGTTGTTGTAGTCTTGCTTATCAAGGGTCTTCCTCTCCTTCATGAGTCCCTCTTCTTCTCCCAGCATGATAGCTTTTCTGGAGACTGGCCCCTCCTGAGAATATACAGAGTGATTACTCTCACTCATCTTAGTCTCCACAGCTCTGTTTTCACTTCATAATTCAGCACTGAATTAAGACTTTTTATGATAAACATGGACTCTGGGTCAAACTGCCCTGGGATGAGCCTGACTCTGCTCCTTAATAGCTGTGTACCTCTGGACCTAAACCCAAAGCCACACTTGACTGCTGTCAAGTCAATGCTGACATGCAGCAGACAGAGTAAAACTGCCCTGTGGGCTGGTGGTTTGTCAGGGAAGCAGACGCCCCCATCGTTCCCCAAGGAGTGGACGGTGTGTCCAAACCACTGAGATTCTGGGTTATGATCTGAAAACTTTAACCACTGGCACACCAGGGCTCCCTGTGGCTTTGGCCAAGCTTCATTCTCTGAGCCTTAGTTTCTTCTGTTCATTGGCTGAGAAAGAATATAAGAGTACTTAAACCAGTGATTTGCTATGGGACTTAAACGCATATACAGTTTTCACCTTCAGATTTTGTTCACAATAAGGGTTGAATAAGTATTGGCTCTTATAATTCATGATAATAACACCAAAACCCAAACAATCAAAAAACAACCATAGGGGAAAAAAACCCAGGGAACCACACTACTGGGGGTGCAAACGTGTCCTAAATGCATGAGCAAACATGTGGTTAAGATGAGAATTTATGAACTGGTGATTTGGGCTTTCAGGAGTGAGGGAAATGGTACCACTAACAGTTAAGTTGCCAGACAGTGAGATTTCAAAGGAAAACACTTAGGAATTTCAACCTGACTTTATTGTGATCCAAAAACTGTCATCTATAAATTTTACAAAGAGACCTTAAAAATCAGTGTTTGTTGGATGAATGGAAATTCACAACTACAAATTGTGTGTGCTAATAAATTGTAAAAAGAGATACAACTCAACATATGAAGTGAATTGCTTATTGCTTGCACGGCGTTCACAATTAACTTTGAAAAATTTATCTCGGTTGCAGGTAGCCTCTATCTATAAAGACCCAAGTATTGGAAATTTAATTAATATTGTTATTGTGAACTTAGTAGTGATTCATAATGAACAGGTAATAAAGTTTTTTTCTTCTTTTTCCTAACTGTATCCGAAATGGCATATCGAAGTAGTGTTGGCATGACCAGCTGACCGCAATTCTTTTCTGTATTTAGGAAGGACCTTCCATATCTTTTAATGCCCAGACCACACTAAAAAACTTCTGTCAGTGGCAGCATTCAAAGAACTATCCTGGTGGGATCCAGCATGACACGGCTGTCCTGGTAACAAGGTATGTGGATTTATTATCTCTCAAATCACTTAGTTTCTGGTCAAGTTGATGACCTGAGTGAAGGTTGCTTGTTATTAGAATCCAGCTTGTAGATCTCAGCTTGTCGATGCAGATACTGTTGACGTTTTGAGCCGATAATTCTTGGTGGTGAGACCTTACCCTGCGCCCTCTAGCCTCCGCACCTAGGCACATCTCACCCTCCTCCCAGCGCTGCCCACCAATAGTGTGCTGTGATATATAGTCATGTCCCTCCTTGGCGTCATCAAGTCCCTAAGTGTGTTTTGCTTTCAGACAGGATATCTGCAGAGCGCAGGACAAATGTGACACGTTAGGTGAGTTGGCTGTGCACAAGATCTATGATCAGAATGCCTTCCTACATATTTTCGTTCCAAGCCACAATTGCCTTGCGTAGTAAATCCTTGTTTGCTTTTTGTTTTCCTTCCGGTAGGTCTCGCTGAATTGGGAACCATCTGCGATCCTTACAGAAGCTGTTCTATCAGCGAAGACAGTGGGCTGAGCACGGCCTTCACCATAGCCCATGAGCTGGGCCACGTGTACGTTTCCTTTCGATGTTTTCACTTACCTGAGAGCCGCCCAGACTCTTGCTTCTTGGCTCCAGTGAGCATCTCCATGAATTTAGAGAGCGCTAGTTACTTTCCGTTAGGATAGAATTGGCAGAATTAAAGATCTAAATCTACTTGGGAGACAACCTGCTTTAAAACTTTAGAAAATCCAATATATGCAGAGCTCATATCTGGTTGTTATTTAACTGTTTAAATTTTTTTTTTATTTTTTTTTTATACAAGATGCAATATTCTTTTCTGCTGTCACCTGGAAGAATGAGCCATCCCCATCCTTTTCACTGGTGTAAGGCAGACCTTAGCTTGGAGAACTTTCCTGATTTAACTTCACTGCTCTGGTCCATCCCCACAGCATTGACACAGATTTTCACAAATTCAGGGAGCTTGGTGGCCAAGACCTGTGCTACTAGACCAAAGCTGCTGCCTCTCTGGCAGTTCGAATCTACCCACCATCCATCAGAGAAAGACACTCAGTCTCCATCTGTGTGATTCACAGCCTCTGAAAATTAGCTGAAGGGTCACCTGCGAGTCAGTCCCCACTGACACCAATGAGTGGTTTTGTATGGTTTTATTTTTGAGTTTTTGCATTATTTCCTAATTAGACAATAGGGTTTCCCCTTTTGTTCTTCAGAGACAATGCATGGTTAAAGCATGAAATGATAGGATATAAAGTTACTAGAAAACATTCTGATATTTTAACCTGCATAATTTCCTTCTAAAATGCTTATAGTATACCTTTTTGAAATAACTTCCTCATATGATGTCTGTAATAGATTTTTATCCAAGTGTCTCACATTAACTCTCTTTAGTGTTAGCACCATCTATGATGAAAACTTTTTCATTCGGCAGATTGTTTTGAAGGCATCTTCTGTGCTCAGGATAAAGTAAGATACATAAATACAGGTACTTCCAACTTGGTTCAACATCGAGCAGGTTTATTTTATAAAGGATACCTTTCAAATATATTTTAAGTATGATTTTTTTTGTTCCTTTGCCCTGAATTAGCTCTTAGGAGATGCACAATATCTGGAAGATAGAAGAACTTTCAATTAGGCAATTGCAATACTCCAGAGCTCTAGTTAATCAGCATCCTTTCTGTTTTGGTTTCTGAGGCACCTCCATGGAAATCAGGAATTCCTTGTAACTCAATTTGAAAACCACTGGGCTGATTAGCATTTTTCAAAGAGGAGTCTGATACTAATTCTAAGAAAATGTTGGTGGGTGCTGTTCACACTGCATTTGACCCATAGTGGCCCCCAGTGATAAAGTAGAATTACTCCATGGGATTTTCTAGGCTGTAACCTTCAAGAGAAGGAGTCTGTATTGCAGTACTGTTTGGCCGCTAACTGAAAAATTCAAGGTGTGAACCTACCAGGTGCTCCATGAGAGAAAAGAACTGGTGACCTGCTACTGTAGAGATTACAGCCCATGAAAACCCCTAAGGGTCGGTCCTCTGTCCCATGAGGTAAGCTGTCAGTGGAAGGGGGCCTAGTGGCCCCCAGGAACAGCAGCCTCATGGAAATCGACCACAAGGTTTCTGTAGGGGGCCCCTAGGTGCATTTTTTCCCTTCAAGCTTTCAATTAGCAGAAGAACTTAATAATTGTACCACCACAGCTCCTTGCATGGAAACCTGTGGGGGGAAGGAAAAATTTCATAGTCAAATAATTTTCAGAAAACTTCTCCCAACCTATACCTGCTTAAAGTCAAAAGACTCTTTAATATAAAGGCTCTCAGAAGTCTTGTATTAAGTGAAGGGTTTGATTTTGCTCAATACAGTGTTTCTAAACTAATTTTAATGGAACCTATAGGGAAGTGTTAGTGTTGTTTTGCATAAACTCTAGTTAATTCATTTGGAATTTTAAATAGGAGGTGAGATTTGACCTTAAAGATACAAGTGGGATTTCTTCTAGGCAGCTTTTTGTGTTTTAGGAAAAGTAACTCAACGGCACCTAACAATAATAAATCACTGAGAGCTGAGATTACTGGGTTAGCATTTCTCCCAATATGGAAAAGGGCACTGTGTAAAGAACTAGAATGAACTTACTGTTAATTGCTTTCCAATGAAAGTTTATAAACTTCACCTGTACTCAGACAATTTATAAAGATGATGTTTTAAGGAAAATGAGAACTTGAAACCACACAACCCAGACATGTTCATCTAACTCCACTACACAGTTAACATCCCCTTCTGGCAAACCCCCATGTATTTGGAATTGCCCAATTTTTTTTTATTAATTTTTTTAAATTTTATTTTATTAATTTTAGTGAACATTTAGAGATTTTGGATTTTCATTCATTCATTGTTGCACTTTTTTCTTTACCCGCCTGCCCCCAGTTCACTCCTTTCTTTGAAAAACAAAAGATAAACTTCTTCGTTGGTATACAATCCCTCGGACCCTGCCCCTGCCCACCCCCACCTCACCCCACTCCCGCCCCAAATGCACTCCACTATGCAACCTTAATTCTAGAATTGCCCAATTTTTATTGACAGTAAGCCTTTTAATTACTATAAGGATCCCACAAGATAGATATTGTTTCCTTGTGTTTGATGTTGTTGTTCTTATTGTATGCATAGTGTCAGACCCTTCAGCAGGTTTTCAGAGGCAGTTAATCACACAGGAGGTAATTGCTCATCCTTTTCCTACATAGCAGCTGGTGGATTTGAACCCCGTGCCATTGGGATTGCAGTGCAGATTTGTCCAAAGTCTTAACAGCACATGAACCTTTGTTATCTTATCAAAACACTCTGAGGTAGCGCTTGTAGCTTGTACCGGGAGACAGATTTCTGGTTCTGAGCTGGTTCTGTACATTCTCCTGAAGTAGATGAACAGTGACTGTGTTTTGTTCTCTGGCCTGTAGAATGGGAGTAATGTTTATCCTTCCCATCTCTAAAGTGTTAGGAGCTAAAGAAATGAAATAGCAGGTAACTGTTATGTGTTCGTAGGTTAAAGAAAAAGTATGTTTTTAACTCATTAATGAATCTGTCTCATGTATTTAAGGAATATGAAAGTCTTTTCATTTGTTTTATAACAGACTTTCTAATAAAGTTTTTTAAATTTTTAAATGAAATATTTTCAAATTTAAAAATTCTAGACTAAGCTGTTTCAACCATGTCCTTGTGATAATAAGAAATGTTAATACCTTTCACAGTTATTATTATTATAATATCAGGAAGCAGTTAATGGAGGTGTGTTTGTTGAACATAATTAGATGATTCAGAACCAGCTCCTACCGTCCATTACTAGCCTTATTGACACAGAATCTAAGTGTTAAGAGGAATCTGGGAGACCTTTGAGTTTCTACGGAATACCGAAAACCTTACGAAGCCTTCCTGACAAACTTGTGTAGCTTGTCTAATGGGAAAGCAACAGAAGTTTTGGAATCAGATCAAAATGGTTTCAAATCCCAGATTGTCCAGCCCTTGTAGCCTAGTGGTAAAAAGCTGCACTGCAGTCCTGAAGGCTCACAGTTTGAATCCAGCTGTACAGAGGAAGAAGGAAGGACAATCTCCTCCCATGTAATTATCTGCCTCTGAAAACCCACTGGAAGGTCAGCTACAAGTTGGTCCCGACTTGACAGCACACAACAACCACGGCAGCATGACTCAGTTAAGGAGACCCGCTCCTGTGGTATGTAATGTGTCAAGTGGCTAATGGTCAGTGCAGAGGCTCAAATCCACCAGGCGCTCGATGGGAGAAGGATGACAGAGCTTAGGGAGGGTAGCTATTGTCAAAACCAAGTGGATTGCAGAGGAGATTTCTGGTGGCCTGATGCTTAAATGCTCAGTCTGGTAGTTTGAAACCACTAGTTGCTCCTTGGGAGAAAAATGTAGCATCTGCTTCTGTGAAGATTATGTAACATTGTAAACCCGATAGGAAAGTTCTGCTTTGTCTTAGAAGATCGCTGCATATTGGAATCAACTGAATGACAATGGGTTGTTAGGTTTGTTTTATTATAATGTTTTAATAATCAATGTCTTCATCTGTAAAACGTGAAAAATAATAATGTAGTTATAGTAGTAGAATGATTATAAATAACAGCATCATTAAGTCAAGTAGGTGATTAAATGAATGCAAAGAAGCGTTTAACATGCTTCCTGGTACATTATGAATACTGAGAGCATCTTGGTTATTATTGTTTGTAAGTGCTCAATAAAAATTTACTGTTGTCTAGCGCCTGCTAAGAGCAAATGCACCTGGATTTGAATGCACTTTCCATGCTTACATGGTGCAATAAATCTAACCTTATCACGTCATAGTGGGAATGGGAAGAATCTCAGTTTTTTGAACTAAAACAAAATGTTGTTGTTGTTGTTATGTGCCGTCGAGTCGTTTTCGACTCATAGTGACCCTATGCACAACAGCCCTAAGCCCTGCTCTATCCTGCGCCAACCGTACTGCCTCCGACACACCCATCCCGATTACCCCAGTCACCAGATCAATCCATCTCATAGAGGGTCTTCCCCTCCTGCGCCGTCCCTTCACCCTTCCAAGCATGATGTCCCTCCTGGCAACATGTCCAAAGTATGTCAGACGAAGCCCCAGAATAGAGATTTGGTATTTCCTATGAACTGAGTCTGTTGATGTAGATATTAGACTTTGCAGCCAGAAACTGGCAGCTTGGGCACCTTAACTTTCAGACGAACTCTTTAAGAATTAAAAACAACTGATGCTACATTCAACTAAGACGAATTGAGTTTTTTCATCTCTGCTGGCAATAATCACAGGGCCTGAATTTTTTAAACATTAAGAAAACAGAAGACACTAGAAATTAATGGATCAGACATGCTTTTACTTTTGTTTGAAGCAAGCTGACACATTGCTGTCTGACTTACTTACTTTTGTATTTGAACTGAACTAATCCACAGCTGTGGAGTTGAGACGAACTCATAGCAACTCTCCAGGACAGAGAACAACCGCCCCGTTGGGTTTCCAAGTCGATACATCCTTCTAGAAGCCGATTATCGCATCTTTTTCTCAAGGAGTGGCTGCTGTATTTGACCTTTTGATTAGCAGCTAGGGACTTTGACTACTGTATCACTAAAGCTTTTTGCAAGTAGAATTGAACTAAAAAAAAATACTCCTTGCCAGTGAGTTGAAACTGACCCATAGTGGGTTTTCAGAGGCTGTAATTCTCATGGGAGGAAATTACTCATCTGTCTCCCTAGAGCAACTAGTGAATTCCAGCCACCTGCCTTTGAGTTGGCAGCACAACCTTTGCCCACTAGGTCACCAATGAAGCAGTGAAGGATGCTCCTCCCTAAGTGATAAATTACCCCGTGCATCAATTCTGTGATGGAGACCGGTCATCCAAAGTGGACAATCTCTGAATTCATCACCCAGTGCATAATGAGCTGAGTTGAGAACAGCGTGTGCATCACAGCCCTGATTCTGGATAGAGAAAGGCTTCCTGTCATTTTCATTTTCCACTTCCCTGGCCAAGCCAAGAATGACAAATATGTGTTAATACTACTGCCTGGTTCTCGCTCAGGCCTAAGAGGCATTGGCAATCCATTACAGCCTTCTCAGGCGGAACCTGGATTAGTTCAAGAATCCTTTCTGGGCCTGACTTTTCAGGAAGTCTGCACCATCAGTCGCCGCTGGCGTGAAGCATGAAACTGTTTGCCATCCCTGAGTTGAGCCAAGTGAATTAGCATGTCTCTGGTTTCCTTCTTTCAGCTTTATTTAGTGGATTTTATTGTGCTCAAACCTTGCATACCTTTATAATGATACACCTTTGTTAGCATATCATTTGTCAGCATGACCCAAAAAAGAGGGGAATGCCAAGACTCATAGTGAGCCTGTTATTAAAAAGTTTTGGCTTCACATTTTTGACACGTGAATGACTATATTTGGATTACCATAACTTGCCAAATTCTTGCCTCTATAAATTGGCCTTTGACAACTTCTTAGGAACTCCAAATACTAGACTCTAGTCCCAACTTCCAGTACTTTCTGAGCCTCTACATGACCGAAAAAATAACATTTAAACTAATAATGTCCCCGCCCATATAAACCTCATTTTTTCTACATTAAAAGCACTTTGTATATTAAATTATGAGAGAAGTATATTTTATTCAAGGCCCTGTCTTGAAATTTCTGGTTAACTTTTGTTTTGTTCACCATGATTCAGCTTCTTCTGCACAATACTGTAGCCAGTTAAATGTATGTTTGAAGTAGTTTAACCAGCATGAGCTGTTGGTGTTTATTGACCTTTTCTTCCTCGTTTTGTCGGCCTTAGGTTTAACATGCCTCATGATGACAACAACAAGTGCAAAGAAGAAGGTGTTAAAAGTCCCCAGCACGTCATGGCTCCCACACTGAACTTCTACACCAATCCCTGGATGTGGTCAAAGTGTAGTCGGAAATACATCACTGAGTTTTTAGAGTAAGACTCGAACTTTCTTTTGGCACAGATTTCTACTTCATCCCTACCTGTGGGGAGCTAATTGTGGGAAAAAGAATGTGAAGTCAGTCATTCCTTGCGAGTTGTTTCTGTTGACATTCTTTGGTGGAGAGGGAGAAAAAAAAATATTCTCTGAGGCTCTGCAGCTCATCTCCTGGCCGTAGTTTGAAAGAGAATAGACTCCACTCTAGAAAACACTGGGGGTTTTTAAAGAAGGACAAGTCAAGTTTGATTTGCTTTTGGTAAAGCTTTAAAACTTGTTCATGTCTTGAGCAAAGGACTGTGAGTCTGCTTCTACAATGATGGCCACACATATTTATGCAATTCTGACCAAGTCAGATTTGGCTGGGAAAGGAGTGGAGGAGTGAATTGAGCACAAAGGAAGTTCTGGGGGTGGATAAAAATTGCAACAGATTCTCATGTTGTTGAGTGAAGGATCTTTTCTTACTTTCTCCTCTCCTCTCATCTCTTCTCCTTTTCTTGTTTTGTTTTTCAATTTCCTGCCAGACTGCTCAAAGACCCAATTACATTATGCAGTGTCCCTGTGTCACAGATTTATAGCCCTTCTCTCCCAGAAGTACAAAAGGTTAAGTGATTTTCCCAAGGTCACTGATGTCTATTTCTGCAGCCGTGGGGGTGGGGAGGGGAACGTTTGTAATCAGAAGTCGCTGTTCCGGTACAGGGGTTTGCAGAAAAGTGGAGGGACGGATAGCTTACTGTTTTCCTTCTCAACCAGATGGTGTAAGATGTTTTCTTTACATAGTCATTGATTGGCTCTCTCACTCATCCATGAAGCAAACATTTTTACTAAGCACCTGTTGATTGGGATGAGGCTCCACGCTGAAATGAAAATGCTTCTTTGCCCCTAAGAAGCTTATAGTCTAGTGAAAGATAATGGAAGATAGCAGAAAAATTAAAACACTTAATCACCTCTACGTGTGAAAAATACTGTGTTGTTGTTATGTATCGTGGAGTCAGAACTGACTCATATTTAACCCTTCAGTGGGTTCTCAGAGGCTGTAAATCACAGGGGAGGAGATTGCCCATCTTATCCTTCGGAGCAACTGGTGGGTGCGAACTGTGTGCCTTTGAGTTTGCATGGCAACTCCTTCTTTTGTTGTTATGTGCCATCAAGTCGCCTGCAAGTCATAGCGACCCTATGTTTCAATAGTTCTGAACCCTGCTCTATGCTGAGCCAACCTTATTATCCCCAACACACCTACCTCCATTACCCCAGTCACTGAGTCAATCCAGCTCATCAATGGTCTTCCCCTCCTGCTCTTTCCCTCCACCCTACCAAACATAATGTCCTTTTCCAAGGACTGATCCCCCCCTTGCACCATGCCCAGAGTACATCAGACGAAGCTTCAGAATCCTTGCCTCCAAGGAGCAGCCTGGTTTTACTCTCTCCAGGATGAACTCGCTTGTTCTCTTAGCAGTCCATGGTAGAGTTAATACTCTTCTCCAGCACCACAGCTCAAAGACATCAATTCTCCTTCTGTCATGCCTAGTCATTGTCCAGCTTTCTGATGCATAGCATGTTATTATGAAGACCATGGCTGGATCAGGTACACCTTAGTCTCCAGACTGACATCGTTGCTTCTCAGTACTCTGGAGATGTCATCTAGAGTTATAGCAGATGCATAATTCATGCTAGCTCTGCATGTTGCATGCGTAACGTGTGACTCTACAAACAAGTATCCACCGGTATTCCATTTTTTGCCGTAACCTTAGTTGAAGAGAGTAAGAGACAAAAGACCTGTTCTCTACTCTTCAGATGGGATTGCCTTTATATTCATCTAAGGTCCTTAATGCAATGATCTTGTCCACCGTTGTGACCTGTTTTGTTTTTCTGCCTTCTGTAGCACTGGTTATGGCGAGTGTTTGCTTAACGAACCCGAATCCAGACCCTACCCTTTGCCTCCTCAACTTCCAGGCCTGCTTTACAACGTGAATAAACAATGTGAATTGATTTTTGGGCCAGGATCTCAGGTGTGCCCGTATATGGTAAGTAGTGGAGGCTTCTTCTGTCATCATTAATTGATTCTGCATCTTTTTTGGTAAGTCGCTGATTTACCCTGGAGTCTGACCATAATGTAAACGACCCAATGAGTGTCAGCGTAGTGCTCACACCGATGGTGATGACAATGACAAGCGGTACTAAAGCTCAGTGTAAATGGTTCTTTGGCTCCACTGTCTCATTGCACTCTCGTGACAGCCCAGAGGGAGATGTCGTTATGGTTGAGATTTTATAAGGACAGAGCGAGGCTCAGAGAGAACAAGGTCACCGCGCTGATAGGACAGAGCTCACGTCTCTTCTCTCCTTGTCTCATCTCCTGTTTGTTGACTTGTCCAGGTAACCTATTAAAGGGGCTTTCCTAGACTCACAAGAAGTAATTCCTGAGACAAATCCATTTCTTTCTTTCTTGTCAAAAAGACCCAGCTGGGACGTAAAGTACTTTCTGGTGGTAATTCAGCTGGGACCCATTTGAGACTTGAAGTAGGTTCTGGAGACACTCAGCTGGAGGTGGGCATGTGCGACATAACGTCTGCCTCTTGGGCGTTGTGACCAATGATAAGATCCCATGGTTCTCTGATTGCACGTGGCCAGAACCAGGCTTCCACGGTTGCCTCATTCATCCCCTTGGCATCTCTTGTGTTCAGTGGGTTAGTTGTTTTGTTGGGTGAGACTTTGGATACAGCATGGTGAATCAGATATTACAATAACCCCAGAGCAGTACTATGATAGACCAAACCCTGGATGTCATTCCAATATCAAACAATGATTAAGCAAAGTATGTCTCCATTTGGTGGCGTTTTCTACAGCTGTTGAAAATAATGTAAACATAGCGGCAGGCTTTTGATAAAGTTTTAAGTAAAAAATAAGATAATAAAGAATTGCTTTGTGTATCCTCAACTATAAAGTGGACTAGGGGTAGGAGAGCCCCAGAAAGGGATATGTGGTTTCTGTCTCTCTTTTCCCCTTTCCTTAAAATTTAAAGTTTTAGGGTCTTCTGAATTTTCTATAGTGAGCAAGATTTCTTTCATTATCAAGCTTTTTGGTTTTGTTTAAAAAAAAAATAACACCAGAAACCTCTTTAAAGTGTATGTTCTGGTATACAGGTTAAATTGCATCAATTTCTGTACATTTTAAAAACATTCACATTATTTTTAAATTTTAAAACATTTATCTAGGGGGAACAATGCATGTTGAAGAGGACATATACCGATGATTCTGTTTGACTAACCTGGATACATGCATACAACATGGTACTGTGTGTTATTGGTGGCTTCGTGGAATAGCTCTGTAGTAAAGACAAGAAGAGCTGTACTCCTAGTCCAAAGGCTGTATCTCTCTACCGTTACGACTCTTACTAGAGGCTCTGTAAGAGAACGGTCCACAGCTTCCTCCCATGCAGTTACCTCAGAAAACCCACTGGAGGGTCAGCTGTGAGAAGGTTTTGACCCCACAGCAGTGGGTTTGAGAGGTATTCATGCTTGTGAGCCTCCGTTTTCTCATCTGAAGCACGGGGAGGTTTCTGATGTCCAGCACTTTAATTTTGGAGGAAATCACTTCTCCAGCATGGAAGTGTAGCTCGTGGGGAGGCTCCTTACGGCCTTGGGAGTATCTGCTCAGTTATCATACGATACAGAAAACATTTTCTTTCCCACTTGTACTGCATCGTTGGCAGAACATCAGATGAACAGCAGTCCTTGCCTTGTCCAATACCCTCTTAATCACATTATTGCTTCATTGTCATTGTCCCTCTGCTGACCCATGCAGATGCAGTGTAGACGACTCTGGTGCAATAACGTGGATGGAGCCCACAAAGGCTGCCGGACTCAGCACACTCCCTGGGCAGACGGGACAGAGTGTGAGCCCGGGAAGGCAAGTAACGCCCCGCCCCATAAGTTGCCATTGTGCCTGATACAATTCAGGACTTGCTAGTACTATAGAAATGTTTTTAAGTAGGGGTGAAGGGTTGAGGGTTAATTTAAGACTGAAAATTTTAGACGCTTGATCTTGATACCAGACTTACTGGTTGAGGCTGTCCTTATCGCCTTTCATTTAAGACATACTCATTTTTTTATTATCTGAATTTTTTCCTCAAAATATTTAAATATGTGCTTTTCAGTGAATGTATGGGCCAATCTCATATTGGCTTGTGTTTCATTTTCTCCTGTCTCTTTTGGAAAACAGAAAGTAAGTGACTGGAGCACCTTAGAATTAAGGAAATAGACACATGCAATGTGCTAACGATGTGCTAACTTACTGCCTGTCCCCCTTTAAGGAACTCTGATGTCACCATGGGATAGAGCCAAATCGAAATTCTAATGAGTGGTTACAGCGGTTCCCACTTGTTAATGACTAAACACAATCTATTACTTCCCTGGGCCAATGATAACAGACTCCCAGCACCAGGGCATATGATTAACTCAAATTCTTGCACCTGGTGTCCATCTAACACAAACAATGGTAGCATGTTAGTGAAATCATCTTCTTCATCATCACCATAAAAGTTTGGTTGAAGATAGTTTTACAGATAAACCCTAATTTTCTTTTTTTTTTCCTGTGTGGAAAATAGCATTCTGTCATTTACCAGTTTTATAATCCCTGTGCTTGTATTTTTTAGTCTCTCCTCTTCCTTATGTAAATTTTCCATCTTCTCTTCTTATTGTCCATTTACTACTCCCTTTTGGCATTGTTTTTTCCTTCATTCACTTTTCTTCTACCTTATTATAAAGGATCAGTAGTACTCAGGACATTTCAGTGGAGGGAACCTTCGAGATGACAGAATTTAACCCTTCTTCCCAGACTTGATAGATGAAGCAGCTGGGAGGACGCAGCCATGCATTCAGAACCCTGGGATGACCCTCAGCCTCATCACGCCATTGCCCCCTTTGCTAAATCCCTCCATTATTTTGCCTGTAGGAGCGGCAGAATCTAGTGGAGTGGACACAACTCAAGCTCACAGAGCTTCGTGAATGTCCTGTGACAGGCAGGAGGACAGGTGTTTCCACTCCATCTTTCAGTAAAGTTAAGAGAGCTTAAGGGTATGGAAGCTGCTGGGAAAATAGAGTCCAATGCCAAAGTAAAAATATTATAATGAGACAGATTTGTAGCTCTGATCTAAGTTCTCCATGGCTAAGACCTTACGGATTAAGAGTCAGTTTTATCCAGAGTAACAACCTAATAAGAAATGAGGTGCAGATACAGTCATTTGAGATTTTGAAGCTGCCATTGGTTTAAAATGAAAATATGTGTGTGTGTGTGTGTGTGTGTGTGTGTGTGTATTTGTTGCTGTTATATACCATCAAGTCACCTGTGACTCATAGTGACCCTATATATAACAGCCTTAGACCTTGCTCTATCCTGTGCAATCTTATTGTCTCTGACACACCTATCCCCATTACCCTAGTCAGTCAGTCAGTCAATGAGATCAGTCCATCTCATTGAGGGTTGTCTTCTCTTGAGCTGCTCCTCCACCCTCCTAAGCATTAATTCCCTTTCCAAGGACTTATCTGCCCTTTCAACATATCCATGGTATATTCAATACTCTTCTCCAGCACCACAGCTCAAAGGCATCAATTCTTCTTCTATCATCCCTAGTCATTGTCCAGCTTACTGATTGACGCAAAGCAAGTAATTACAAAGTCTGTGGCCTTGATAAGGTGTATACCTTAGTCTCCAGACTGACATAATTTCATAATTCTTCTTCTGTCATCCCTAGTCATTGTCCAGCTTACTGATTGATGCATAGCAAGTAATTACAAAGTCTATGGCCTTGATAAGGTGTGTACCTTAGTCTCCAGACTGACATCATTGCTCCTCGGTAATTTGCAGAGATCTCTGACAGTAGTGTGTATGTGTGTGTGTGTGTGTGTGTGTGTGTGTGTGTGTTAACCCAAACGCTGCTCATTCTGGTGATTCAAGTCTACTAGCAGATCTGCAGGAGACACTTGGCAATCTTCTCCCATGCAATTTACAGCCTCAGAAACTCACTAGAAAGTCAGTTATGAGTCAGACCAACTCTACAACCATGATCAAATGGTAAAAAAAAACACCATGTTTTTATGTTTATTGTTGTGTACCATTGAGTCAGAACTGCCCCATATTCTGACCCTCTTGCAGGTTTTCAGAGGCAGATAATCATACGGGAGGAGATTGCCCATCTTTTTCCCATGGAGTAGCTGGTAGATTTGAAGCACGTGACTTCAGGATTGTAGCACAGTTTCTAGTCACTAGGCCACCAGACTCCCTTTTAAAATATATATATACAAAAGACATAGGTATACATATATACACAAGTTCTTGTTGTTTACCATTGAGTCAGAATCAACCCACAGCTATAACCTTACAGTACTGTTGAGTTGCACTCAACCTACAGTTCACTCTCCAGGGGCCTTTCAGAGGCAGCAAATTACACGGCAGGAAATTGCCCATCCTTCTCCCATGGAATAGCTGGTGGATACGAACTGCATGCTTTTGGGACTGTAGTGAAACGTCTTACCATTAGGCCACCAGACCACTTCTATACATGTGTATATGTACATAAAACCTGTATGTATTAGCAGGAGTCCTGGTGGCATAGTCCACAGTGTGTTGGCGATGCGCTGCTAACCAAAAGTCTGCAGTATGTGTCTTTGCGTTTGAATCTACCAGTGACTCTAAGAGAAAGATGGGCAGTCTCTTCCTGTTAAGATTTACAGCCTTGGAAACCCAATGGTGTGGTATCTATGAGTGGGAACAGACTTAAGGGCAGTGCGTTCAGTTCTGATGTATATAGCATATGAGATTTAAGGCACTGAGTCCTACAAGGCTGAGATTTGCTCTCAGTCCTACACACAGTGACCCAACAGCTGCTCCCAACTGAAGACAGAAAACAATATACAGGACACTTAGTTGATAATGTAGGTTAGTCATCCGTTCTGTTACTAAAATCAAACCTCCTGGTTCTTCAGTTTGGAATTGTATTCTCAGGAAAAAGAATTGTTGGTGTGGTTTTTAGTCAGTCTTGCTTTTTGACTGTCTACTTTTAACATATATTACTGACAGAAAAGCATGACAAAGACTTGTCAGTAATGTGATGAAATTAATGATAGTTCATAAAATCTTTACCAAAGAGCTGCTGAAATCCGTGTAAACAATTTAAAATGAATATCCCCTGTCGAGGCACTTCTGATCCATGGTGGCCCCAGGAGCATCAGGGTAGAACTGCCCATTACGGTGCTTTTAATAGTTGAGTTTCCCACACTGATCACCCGACCTTTCCTCCAAAACACATCTGGATGAATCCAGACAGCCAATCCTTTGGTTAATAACCAAGCACTTAATCATTTGTTCCACTTAGGGACTCATATGAGACAAGAGAGATGAGAAATGGAAGAAAACATATTTTGTTTTTCCTTAGCCTTGCGATGCACCCATCCACACATGCATTAGTATGCATAATTTAATTATGATAAGTATGATGCCAAACCAGAATCTGTTAAAATCTGCATTGTATTGCAGACTTTCCATGACTGAAGTCATTTGCATGGTGATATTATAACAGAATTAAAAGAATTTGTGAAATGTCCACATTGTCTTCTGCCAAGTGTTAATGCTTTCCTAAAGAATTATGGAACACAGAACTTGAAGGATATATATATCTGTGTCATTTGCAAATCTTCTGTTTTTGCAGCAGGAGATAAGGGATTGCAGTGTAATCTTATACTTGCCCCAGGCTGGGGCACTTTAACAGAGCCTTCAGGGGACCTTGTCCATGTTTGCTTATGTTCAGCAATGCAGCCCAGGGAATGGCATTCCAAAGGCCAGACTCAATGCAGCAAAAAGACAGTGGCATTTTTATTTTAGAAATTTAGCCACGTCTACCAACTCTTATGAAAGATGAGGGTATATGTGTTTACTCCTCTGAAGGGTATTTATACACTTTACAAATACCAACAGTGGTGGCTGTTTTGGCACAGAAAGACTTTGTGTTGCTGTGGGGTATTTTTTTTTAATTTATTGTGATAGAATTGAAAGTAAACCCATACTCTTGTGTCTTTAAGCCAGAAAATTCTGACTTCTGTTTCCAGCTATACCAAGAAGCTGTTGTTTAAACATTACATGGTTTAAAATTAAGATAGGTGAGAATGGGGCAGGGGGTAATCTTGCTCTATACCTGTTCAAATCTGTATGCTGAATAATTCATTCCAGAAGCTGGGTTTTTTAAGAATGTAATATCATGATAAGAGGAACACTCATCAACCACCTATCGTATGCAGATGACACAGTTTTGCTTGTGAAAGTGAGGAGGACTTGAAACACTTGCAATAGAAGATCAGAGACTTCCATATATATTATGTCTCAACAACAAGAAAACAAAAATCCTTACCACTGGACCAATCGGAAGCATCATAATAGATGAAGATTGAAATTGTCAATTATTTTGTCTTACTTAGGTCCACAGTTGACACTGTTTGTACTAGCCGTTAAGAAATTAAGAAGTACTGAACTGGGAAAGTGATGTTGAGAACCTCTCCAAAGTACTGAAGAGAAATTATGTCAGCTTGGACACTAAAATGTGCCTGTTCCAAGCTACCTACCACGTGCCTGAGAGCTAGTCAATAAATAAGGATGACAGAAGAAGAATCAGTGAGTTACGGTGTTGCTGCATGGACTGCCAAAATAACAGATAATATCTTTGAGCAAGTGTGGCCAGTGTGCTCCTTAGAGGCAAGGATGAGATGGTGAAGCTTTGTAAGTACATCATGGAAGGTCAGGAAGACCTTCATCAAGATGGATTGGCTCAGTGGCTGCAGCAGTGGGATCAAGCTTATCATAGACGATAAAGATGGCACAAGATAGAGCAGGGTTTAGAGCAATTGCTCATAGGGTCACTG